AATATTAAAGATGAAACTACCACTGAGGCCATGGGAGGACCTTTTAACTTGGCATTATGACAAACACGGCAAGTTCACTGTCAAGAGTGCCTATTTTCTGGCTATTTCAGACCGACTTTAGGCGCAGACCAGAGGGGAAAGCAGCAGGGCTAGAAATGGGGAACGAAGCATCTGGAAAGTTTTGTGGGGGATTAAAGTTCCACAAAAGGTTTGTATATTTGGCTGGCGTTTAGCTAGAGAAGCTCTAGCTACACAGGAAAATCGAGCTCGGAGGCTTCTTATACCAGCTGCTAGGTGCTCAATTTGTGGATGGTGTGATGAAGATGGTGTCCATGCTGTAGTCGAATGTTCGAAGGCTAGAGCTCTCCGTGATTCTTTGAGAGTACGTTGGCAGTTACCATCAGAAAAGTATTTTAGGAGAACTGGACCGGAGTGGTTTCTTAACCTGTTGATTGGCATGGATATAGGATGCTGGAAAGGGTCGTTTTGATGCTATAGAGAGCCCGGTACCTGAGGAATGACGTTGTCCTTGGCAACAGGAAAGCTTCAGTTAGAGCAAGCGCCACTTTTCTTTTCAGCTATTTGGAGACTTTTGGACGCTTGCAACAAGAATCCGGCTACGAGAAAAACAAATATGGTGCTGTGAAGGTTAGCAAGTCTCAAGTTCATTCGGCTACATCCTGGGATCCTCCGCCGCAAGGATGGGCAAAGCTTAACACTGGATGCCAGCTTTGATCCATTAACTGGTGCAGCTACGGCGGGCTGCGTCATTCGAAATTGCAGGGACGAGGTCCTCGTTGCTTCCTGGAACCAGCTCCCAGTGTGCATTGAAGCAAAGGAGGCGGAAATATTGGCTTGTGCCAGAGGTGTGCAGATTGCCGTAGAGAGGGTGCATATCAGGGGCGGATCCAGGATTTCATGTTGGACTGGGCTGAAAAACTTAATTGATGATACATTAAAAATTTTCAAAATAAGCAAAATATATATATATATATATAAGAGTTCTCCACTAAATTTGTTCTCGACGAAGCTTTGAAACAAAAAAAACTCGTCAATTATATAGTCTACATCTATACTAAGAGTATGACCTTTTTCAATATAAAGTGTATTGCAATTAACAAAAAAGTCATCATCCATTTTGTCGCGGAGTGTTGTCTTTAAAAGTTTCACGGCAGAAAATGACGATTCTATTGTTGTAGTGAAAACAATAAGATCAATACAAAGCGAATCAATATGTTGATCATAACATATGAAACAGATCTTTTGCTCTTAGTCAACTGCTCACATAATTCAACAAGTGTAGATACTCGCAACTTTGTATCATGAATCACATCATGAGCATAGTGTTGTCGCTCGAATTCAAAAGCATTACTAAAACCTTCGGGATAGAACTTCCTTGCAAGAGATTACAAATAGCATCAGCATTGAATGACACATATGAACTTTCGGGATCCAATGAAGCACTCAAAGAAAGGAGTTTGATCCATTGATTTATCATTAAACCGAGTCCTTAACTTCAACAATACAAAGTCTATTGCCTCATTGAAAACATCAACGTGATAATGAATGCTCAACTGTAGTTTCTTTTCGGCAATGACCAACCATATATTTAGAATTCAATTTCGGTACAAGAATTTCTTTTTTGAGCAAAACTCCTTTGCTTCTTCAAGAAAGCCTTCACATCCATTTTATGTCACTTCCCCGAGAATGAGTTGTGTAGTAGAAACATGTCTCATTGCTATCAAGATATCCAATAATTGTTTGAAGGCCTTGACAAAGAATACTCGTTATATCAAAAGTGAATTGAACACAAATTCAAAACATGGAAAGTGTCTATATACACTATGAACTTCTGCCCAAGAACTCACTTTTGGGCAATGTTCTTGAATATACTCAAACACTTTACAAGTTGATGTGAATCATATTTGAATCATATTTTATTGTATTTATTACTCCTTCTGTCCCTAAATTTACTTCCATTTCGCTTTTCGAGAGTCAACTTAAATCACTGTTAAACTCTTACTTTTTGTATCAAAACTTCATGAAAATTGATTTTTTTTTTGCAGGCTTTGTAGCGGGTTTAATGTAGTTTCTGAATATGTAAATTTTATTTACTAAAAATAATCCGAGTTTTCACAGGGATCATTTAACTTTATCGTCGGTCAACCTTCATAATCCGCAATTGGAACAACATTCAGAGACGGAGGGAGTACATTTATTCCTTTTGGGCTTTACGACCCTTATACGATGTACAAAAGTGCCTCTTGTTAAGTGAGAGGTAATTCGAATAACATTAAGATTAGATTTTTAGATGGAATGATTTTGTTTTGTGGGTTGGGCTGAAAAATTGGATTGGGCTATAGAAAAATTTGGGTTGGGCTGGATAGAATTTTGTGAAAATAATACCTTAAAAAAATTAATTTTTTTTACTTTGCCCTGTGCTTCAGCCCACCATAGCCCTAACATAGATCCTGCCCTGGTGCATATGCCATTGATCATCGAAGTTGACTGTGTGGCGATCTCATCCAGTTTATCACAGCGTGCGCAAGATGCCTCCAGATTCGGAATCCTTCTCTAAGAAGTAAAAGAGATTACTGGTTCATTACAGGAGGTTCGTTACAGCTCTATTAAAAGGGATAGTAACTGTGTTGCACACGAATTAGCTAAACTAGCTAAAGATTGTTTTGGAGGGCTCGTGTGTCTCGAGGCACCGCAGCAGATCCTTTCCTTTCTCCAAGGATATTGACATATTGTAATTCCGAATTGTTCTATCAATAAAATTTGCTTTTTCCTCGCAAAAAAAAAAGGAATGGTAAAATCATACAGAAATGCTTGAGGTACACACATTGTACACAAAGTGTACATGCTATAAAAGGTGTCAAATTTTTTTAACTTTGGTTTTAACCCTTCCCACTCGTCACTTTCCCTTTCCTGGTACGCATCTTCCCCTCCTCTCTTCATCACTTTTTCATCTTTTCTCTCTCTAATTTCTCCACCATTTTCACCTCCATCTATCTTCCAATTTATGATGGATGAATCTTCCCAAAGTCATCATTAATGAGGTAATTTTGCTCCAATTTTTCCGTATGCGTTTTAGGTTTTTTTTTTTTAATTTTTTCCAGAATTTTTGTATGTTATCATCTATGTTGTAACATTAAATAATTTCATTTTTGTTTTATTGTAAAAGATTGTGGTGTTAGTTATTGGAATTTTAATCCTAATACTCTATTTCATTGTATGCCCATAACATGTTTGTTGAAATGACTCAATAAAAAATTGTTCAGATTAATGATTTTATTCTCTATTTTGTTGATGTAGATTAGTGTTTAATGAGTTTTAGACTCTACTTTTTCGGGTTTTCAGTTTTATTATGATATACTAATTGTTGATTGATTATCATTTGATTATTATAAATTTGCTAGATTTTTTCTTTCTTTTAGGGCTATCTTTGTTTTTAATTTTTCAGATTTTATGTACTCTGTATGTTACTAGTGTACATTAACAAAATAGTTCACGATTTATGCATGTTACTAGTTTTTGTTCATGATTTTGTTTTCATTTTTGCTAATGTACATTACTGTTTTTTCTCGATTTATTAATAATTAATAACACAATAGTTCAAGTATGCAGAATGTTATGATTCTTATCCTGTGTTAATGATTGTGTCATCCTAAATATTTAAGTGTTTGAGCTGGTTTATGTGATTTTTTTGTCTATGGTTACCAAATATCTTGTCCCCATAATGGTGTAGCACAGAAACTATACAGTGGAGACCTAGAGAAAATGACCTAGCTGAGGTTGGTCCAAAGTTCTGCTTGAATCCAATAAAAATATTTGGTGAAAGTTTTGGAGGTCCGGCTTTATATGAGATTTCATCCATGCCCATAGGATCAACAAGAAGATTGACAGACTTATTGGTCCTTGAAATTGACAAGGCATGACGAAGGAAACATGATGATCTTATGAAGAACGCCAACTAATTTAGTCGTAGGCGGAGCTCATATAATCTGATAGAATGTGATGATCTCAAATTAGTTTCTCTTAGATTAGTCGGCAATGTAATGTTAGAATGTGTTGACATTTGGGTTGTAATGATAATGTTTATTTTTTTAGATTAGTTGGCATTATGATTTGAGATGTTGGAGTGTATATGACATTTGGGTGGTAAATGATAATGCTTGTTTTTGATAATGGAGCACTTTTTAGTTCACTTAAGAATCAAAGACTTTGTAGTTATGTATCTTTTGTTTGTAACCCGACACTTCATGTCGCGTTCATAGACAATTCCAATTAGCACATTTGCCTGTTCCTATGACTATTGCCTGTGGCCAGACATTTCGTGTCTGGTTCACAGACAATTCCACTTAGCACATGAGTTAATTAATTAGCCCAATTTAGTAACTATTGTTTGTGACCAGACACTTCATATCACGTCCACAGACACTTTTACTTACTATATTAGTCCGTTCAAGCGACTATTGTCTGATTCACAGACAATTCTACTAAGCACATTAGCCCATTAGTCTGTTCAAATGACTAATGGAATTGTCTGGGAACCAAACATGAAGTGTCTCGTTACAGACAATGGCTACTGGAATGGACTAATGTACTAAGTGAAAATGTTTGTGAGCCTGATACGAGGCGTCTAGCCACAAACAATAACCACTAGAATGGGCTAATGTGCTAAGTGAAATCGTCTGTGAACTAAGACATGAAATGTTTGGGTACAGGCAATAGCAACTGGAATGAGCAAATGTGCAAATTGAAGTTGTCTGTGAACATGACATTAAATGTCTATTACAAACAATAACCACCGAAACAAGTTAATCTGCTAAGTGAATTTATTTAACCGTGATTCTTAATTTCATAAACAGCTTACATCTATTGTCCATAGATATAATAGAGAATAAAGTATGAAAAAAGTTATTTGGGCAAGTTTATTTTATCACAAAACCATTTTTAGTGATATCATATAATAGAATAAGATTAGTAATTCAACTTTTCAACTAACTTACAACATAGTTTATAGACATAACTTACTTTGAAGAATTAATTACAAGAATGACATGTCTCATGTCCCATTATCAATAGAGTTATCGTGTTTTATTGAATACCAACTCAAAAGTTTATAACATCATAAATTACATTAAATACTAAACAAGAAGAGTAAATCTGACTGTTTAATCCATCACACTTGGTGTACATAACAGAATTATAACAAATATATCTAATCATATTACTACTTCACAAATATTATCTAAAATAATACACCCTGGCTGCGCTGAAGGTTTTATGATCAACAACTTCTCACTCTCAGCTCGCCTTTACCCTCGGCGGTATTCTCGTCCAGAGAGTTTGCGTCTCAACACCGGCATCTTCTAACAATGACGCCAGTCACTTCGTCCTCGATGGTGGTACCGGCGTTATCCAAAATAATGACGCAGGGTTTGTGTAATTAGTGTTGCTTCTGCATTTAACTCTCATGATTTCACTCTTCTACCACAGGACCTGTCTTAATGCTAGAAAAATATTATATAAAATAAATGATGCTCATTTGTAGTGGATTTGAATACTTGATCATCAGAAAGTAGCTCAGGTGTTCCTTATTCTTGTAAACCTATAGGAAATCAATTGAACAATGAAACAAAAGAAAAACAACTCATCAACCGTTCAAAACATCAACTGAAAGCATCAAAACAATAAAATCTTTGAAAGCATCAAGACAATATAATAAGGCTATAACAAGCCAAGTGAGCATAAGGTTCGATATCCCAAAATGGTGAACTGACAATCTAAGTATTGACATCTTTTTAACAGATAAATTCTAAAATAAACAAAAGAACAAAATTAAAGGAACACTAAATCTTACACAATCTCAAGGATTAAGAGACTTTCTTGGTTATTATGAGCAAAGGTTCACCTGCAGTTCGAAGTTTAAGAAAATGGAAATCTTGTAGTTCATTCTTTTCTTGTAGCAAGAATGAAAACTATCGTATGAGTTTGATAAGCATTGAATAATTAAATGGGATGATTTGAGAGACTTTACATTTATAGAAATATTAAACATCCATAAAAATGATAAATAATTACAAGCACCAGCTAAGATTTTAGAATCCACCACATGTGAGCTCAAACTTGGCATGCCTTTTTCCACCTTTCGGCTTAGATTGGGATAACATGAATATGCTTTACGAGGTTATTATGATTTTTTTTTATTGGACAAAGCAAAATACAGTAGAAATAGAAAGAGAATGTTTGATGAAGTAGAAAAAGTACAAGTTATCTGTACATTCTCTTTCACGCAGCCTTCTTATAAAAGTATCTTCATTTCCCCTCATTTAAGTATCAAATATTTGTTGTGGAAACCGCATATATTCTAAAAAATACTTTGCAAATGCAGTCTCACATCTATCTATCTTCTTCATATCTCTGACTCAATATGTTCCCTTTAACATACAAACACACATTAAGCGAGTCTAGGCGGGGTGGGGGGGGGGAAGAAACTACAAAATCATAATCGACAAACTGGCATTAGTGGTATATGATTTAAGTCATCATGCTCTGCATACTCCAGAGCAAATCAAAAGCAAAATGATAAGAGTTTGAGTGCCTGTTATGGATCACAGAAGTAAACAGGGAGGGAATTCACATGGTACATCATTACCACCACTAGTTTTTTTTTTCTTTGTAGTTAGTGATGGGGATTGGGGAAGACAAAAGAAATCTCTAGCTGAAAGGGAAAAGCAATATACAACCTACCATGTGAAGAAGCTTCAAGCCTCTAATAAGGTCTTTGTTGTACCAGCTAAAGTTTGCACTTCCAACGCCAGGTCCGATTGGAGCAGCTCCATAGGGAATTGTCCTTCCATAGGCCTTCCATAGCCATCCAGGTAAGCCATGGTACTAGGCATAGGATGAGACATGGTATAGGTTATTATGAATTAAAGAAAGCATTTTATTAGCTTATTAACACGCAAAAGTTTTAAAAACAAGCACACATGAAAATGTTAACAATATAAACACACAAAAGTAATATTAATCTCAATTAATGCAATATCAATACCAGAAATAATAAACACTATTAGTTCATTAAATAATACCATAATTACAACGATATTGTTACTATGCTTATGATTCAGATGTACCAACATCAAGAAAGTCATGCAACTAAAAGAAAATTTTATATGCAATTTCCTTTCATATATGATGCAAAAAGTATAAACCCTAAACCACAATAACGAAAAAGGGGGAATTATTATCTAATAAGTTAGGGTTAAGGAGTTTGGATTGAAGTAAGATGAAGGGGAAATGAATACCATAATGGCAATGGGTCGGTGGCAATTCACCAGGTCGGAAATTAATCCTCCATGTCGGACTTGCTCGCGGGTGGTTGGCGTTGTAACTTCCAGGCGATGGAAGCATCCAAGCGGCGGCGGCGGCAGCTCCAAGCGGTGATGTCTTCCAGGTCTGCCGCACTCCCTATTCACTCGTGAACCACCATAGAGACAAATTAAATGGCTTATGACAATTAAGAGCCCGTTTGGAGAACTCTGTTTTCGGCTTATCAGGCTTATCAGCCAGCTTTTTCACCAAACACGTAACTTTTACTTTCGCGCGCTGAATTGTGTAATAAGCCGAAAAAGTAAGGTTGGAGTTACTTTTCTGGCTGTATTGGCTGAAGTTACTGTAGAGGACCATTTTAGCTATTTTTACATATAATTTTTTCTTTAAATTTATTAATAAAATATATTTTTAAAATATTTTTTTCTTAAATCAGCAGAATCAGCCAAAACAGCCACTCCAGCCTAAATATCATAAATTTCAGCAGAATCAGCCAAAACAGCCGATTTTGGTGCTACCAAACGGGCTCTAAATGTGGATAAGGATTGAAATGAAAATGAAGAAGAAAAGAGAAACTTGCTACGAGAGAGGAGTTAGGTCGCAGAGAAGAAAGAGGAGAAAGAGATAGGGGAAACTGTAAAGGGAAAGGAGGGTAAAAAAATTAAAACTGGAATGGTAAAAAATAAGAGGTATTTATACCATGTATAGTTTGTGTACAAACTATGTACGACTAGCATTTTTCAAAACAATCATGCTAGGGTACATGAAGTGTACACAAAATGTACACACTATAAATACCTATTGCTTTTTACCATTTCAGTTTTATTTTTTTACCCTCTTTCTCTCCCTCTTATCTCCTCTTCTCCCTGCTCTACCGACCTCCTCTCACGTAACCCCTATTTCTCCTTGCTTTCTTTTTCTTCATTTTCAATCCTCTTCCCATTTTTCTCTCACGTAACTCCTCTCACGAAACCCCTAATTCGTCTCTGTGCGACTGTGCTCACCCGTTCTTCTCGAACTATCAATCTTGAGGTAAATATCTATTTCCTTTTTTCATGTGCATTTTAGGGGTTTTTATATACTTTTTCTTGATTTCATGAATATTATATATGTTATAACATTAAATAATTGATTATATTGTTTTATTGTAAGAGATTTGAGGAGTTAATTATTGCAATTTTAGTGTAAATAATCTAGTTCGTTTTTGCTCATAACTTGTTTGTTGAAATGACTCAATGAACTTTTTGTTCAAAGTCAATATTTGTTCTCCTTTTTTAATTTGTTGATGCACCTTTGTGTTTAATGTATTTAAGATTCTAATTTTTCTTCAAATGCAAGACTGAGAGAACCTTCTTTTTTACTTAACTTAAATAATTGACCCTTTAATTCCATAAAAATGTACTCTAGTTTTTGAATGATAAGACTATGTGATTGTTAGAAATTTTAATTTGAGAATAATCATAAGTATGCGGTAGAGAGCAACATTTGTTTTTTTATTAGGGCCTCACTTGGCCGCATTAATCGGCTCATTTTGTTTATCCTTCTTACTCTGTATAATAGAATAATAAGACTATGTAGTAGACTTTGATAAGTTGAAAGGCTGTTTGGTGCATATTATTTGACTCGTTTTTTACTGTGAGGTTGTATAGTGTGTTTTTTGTTTTTATAGAATAATAAGACTAAGTGTCATTCTTGTGAAATATGGTGCTTGTTTTGGAATACGGGTTTATGGAATTTTGAATAATCAATGGTTGTTTGATTCAAGAGGAGAATATGGATTCTGACTTCTGCTCAAACAACTCATTCAACTTAGGGATTGGAGTGATTGCACCAAAGGAAGAAGTAGAGGAGGCTCTGGGGGTCACAAATGAAAGGAATTACATATTTTCCCCCATACGAAAGTTGTATTTTGGATTGGATTGCTTATTGATTATTTATCGTAGTGCACAATAATGTAGAGGCTTAGTACCATAGAAATGAAGTTGTCTAGTGAGTTAGAAGAAGCCAATTGGGTTAGAAGCTTGAAACTCTATTATGAAAGCTAGTGGAATAGGGATGAAGCAAATGATGATTATTACTGGAGAAGATTGGTCATTTTGTGGAATTGTTTATTGGACGTGTAAAGTGATACAATGCTATTTTGTAACTAGTCACATTGTAATGCAAATGTTCTTGTATTTAGATTTGCATTTATTATCAAAGATGTATCTTATTGTGAACTAGACATTGATATAAAAAATTGATGACAAAATTACTCATGTTAAAAGTCAAGAATGAGAGTTTCAAAGCAAAAGATATCAGATGATTTATTATATTTTCCACTAGAATGGGCTAATGTACTAATGTGTTTACTGGAATTGTTTGTGAACCAAAAATGAACTGTCTAGTTAAAGATAATGACCACTTGAACGGACTAATGTACTAAGTGAAAGTGTCTGTGAACTTGATCTGAAGTGTCTGGCCACAAACGAGTAAAGGATCAGTTTGGTCCTCGAAGTTGCAAAAAAGGGGTCAAATAAGTCCTTATATAGAAGATTATGTCCGGACGTGCCATTTGAGGTGGCTCCCGGTAGAATTTTTTGATGAAATTTTTTGAGCATCTTATTCATTAAGTCTAGTTTACTCATACCAAATTTCAGCTAAAAATTCAATCGGGGAGACATTCAAGTGAATTCTTGAAGATAACTGCGCTTTTAACGGCACAGTTATCTTCAAGAATTCATTTGAATGTCTTCCCGATTGAATTTTTATGTGAAATTTGGTATGAGTAAATTTGGTATGCTCAAAAAATTTAATCAAAAAATTCTACTGGGAGCCACCTCAAATGGCACGTCCGGACAAAATTTTCTATATAAGGACTTATTTGACCCCTTTTTTGCAACTTTGAGGACCAAACTGACCCTTATCCCGGCCACAAACAATAGCTAATGGACTGATGTGCTAAGTGGAATTGTCTGTGAACCACACATGAAATGTCCAGTCACAGGCAATAGCCACTGGAACGAGCAAATGTACTATTGAAATTGTCTGTGAACGTGAGATGAAGTGTTTGGTTACAAACAGTAACCACGTAAACAAGTTAATCTGCAAGTGAATTTATTTAAACGAGATCCTTAATTTCATAAGCAACTATTGTCCATAGACATAATAGAGAATCAAATATGAAAAAAGTTATTTAATTAGGTAAGTTTCTTTTTAACATAAATCATTTTTATTTGGGCATATTAACATAACTTGTGTATGAGAAAATTCATAGTTAAACTCCTATCTGAGACCATATATTATCTTTTAACTATTTTTTAAGAGAAGTTACACTTTCATGATTTACATGTATTTACTATTAAACTAATAATTATAATGAATACAAATTAACTATAGCAACATATATAATGAGAGTAATAGTGCCAATTCACCTTTTCCACTAACTTACAACATAATTTGAAAACATAACTTTACGATACAAGTAATTATAAACATAAATCCTTTGGGGTCTCTGCTATTGTTTGTGGGCAGACATCTCATATCAGGTTCACAGACATTTAATTTTCACTTAGTACATTAGTCTGTTCAAGTGGTCATTGTCTATAACCAGACACTTCATGTTTGGTTCACAGACAATTCCACTTTGCAAAGGTTATTCTTGTGCTAATGAGCTAAGTGGAATTGCATGTGAACCTGACATGAATAATTCGGTTACAGACAATCACTACTTGACCGGATCAATGTATTAAATGAAAGTGTATGTGGACATGATATGAAGTGTCTGGCCACAAACAATAACCACTGAATGGACTGATGAGCTCATGTACTAAGTGAAATTGTTTGTGAATGAGACATGAAATGTCTGGCCACAGACAATAGCCACTGCAACGGGCAAATGTGCTAATTGGAATTGTCTGTGAACGCGAAATGAAGTGTCTGGTTAAAAACAAAAGACACATTTACAAAGTCTTTGACTCTTAGGTAAAAAACAAGCATATTTACAAACAAAGTGCTCCATTACCGAGAACAAGCATTATCATTTACAACCCAAATGTCATATACTCTCCAACATCTCAAATCTCAATGCCAACTAATCTAAAAAAAACAAGCATTATCATTTACAACCCAAATGTCAACACATTCCAATGTCGACTAATCTAAGAGAAACTAATTTCAGATCATCCAATTCTATAAGATTAGATGAGCTCCACCTATGACTAAATTAGTTGGCATTCTTCATAAGACCATCATCTTCAAAAGACCAGCATGTTCCCTTAGCTTCGCCATGCCTTGTCAATTTCAAGGACCAATAAGTCTGTCAAACTTGTTGATCCCATGGCTGCAAAACTCATGAGATATAGAAATAGCTACATAGAGATAATGATTAATAACAAAGTATTCAAACAATGGTTATTATAATATTACAACATCGATGTTTATTGTAATCTTGAGTGTAGAAGCAGCCTAGAAATCATGAACGAAGACTTAGAAAAGAAAACATCAGTATATTAACCAAGGGTATTCTATTAGCTAACGTAATATGGGATGTCATTAACATCTAACATATAAAAATGAAGTTGAGTATTACACCGCACTTTGGAAGTTCAAATAAACTAAGTTCATAGATGCAATTGTGAGAATCCAACCTTTCATGTAATATGCAATTGTTTTCATTGATACTTGATACATAAATCAGATACCCGACATTCCGACAACTTATAAATTTCCTTCAGTGTGCACCCACCCACCCCTTCACGGCCTCCCTCATTAAGATAACCGAAAGAACAAGGTTTAGGAGGGTTAAAAATAACAACAATCCAACATGCAAAAATTAGTAATCTTAGCCATATATTACACTCGAATAGCACTAGCAGTAGCAGGGGTTAACCAAATGATTCATATCCAACAAATTACTATATCATAGACTAAATTCATAATAATCAAAGAATAGTTAATAAAAAATTACTATATCATAGTAAAACAGAAAAACCGAAAAACAGAGTCTAAAAATGATTAAACACTGATGTACATCAGGAAAAACGAGAACAAAATCATTAATTTGAGAAA